AAGGTTGCACTAACAAACAATCCGAAGTATTAATAGGTTTATCTTGTAATGACTGTCGAGAAATGTAATCAACATGTTGAATCTGTTTGGCACTTCTGTGCTGAACCGTATAGTCATATGCACTCAAAGCAATACTCCATCGCTGAACCATAGCTGCTGAGGAACGTGCTAAGGATTTTCCGGGATGATAAATAAACTTTAAAGCTTCATGATCAGTAACAATAGTGAATTTCTTTCCGAATAAATATTTATGAAGTCTTTTAACAGCCCAAAACACAGCTAATGCTTCTCGCTGAGTCTGTGAATAACCTTGTTCAGTAACAGTAAGTTTGCGTGAAACACAAATAACTGGTCTACCTTCCTGTTCCAAAACTGCACCAATTCCCACAGGTGATGCATCAGTAATAAGCACAGAATGTACATTAGGGGAGTACGTTCGAAGAACAGCATCACTTTTAAGAAACTTCAGCAGACTTCGTAAGCATGACTCTTGTTCCTCACTCCATTTGAATGAATTGGATGTTAAAATATTAAATAAACAATTTGCACGACAAGAAAAATTAGGAATAAAACGGGAATAGTATTGAAGAGCACCCACTAGTGAACGTAATTCTGTAAGATTTTTCGGAGACGGTGCATTAGTCAGTGGAGCTAGTCGTTTCATATCTGGTCTAAAACCGTTACCATCAACTAGGTATCCAAGGCATTCAAAACTAGATACACAAAATGAACACTTATTTGGATTCACTGTTATATTCTTCTCAATTAAACGTCGCAATAAAGCAATAAGTCTCTGGTCATGAACCACCTTATTAGAGCCATGAACAATGAGATCATCTTGATAAACTTCAACACCTTCAAGATCACTAACTACTGTATTCATAACTTCTTGAAATATGGCTGGAGAACAACTTAGACCAAATGGAAGGAAATTGTATTTGAACAGACCAAAAGGAGTGTTAATTGTCGTCAAAATAGATGAAGATTCATCTAAAGGAATTTGAAGATAAGCATCTTTTAGGTCAACTTTCGAGAACACTTTAGAACCATGAAGTCGATTTAGAATATCTTCAGCTTCTACCGTCGTGCACGTTTGCTTCAACAAACGGGAGTTCAGAGTTAATCTATAGTCACCGCAAATTCTAGGGGTTTTGCCGTCCGACTTCAGTGGCGTAACGATAGGAGTACCCCATGCTGAAGACTGGATTGGTTCAATTATGCCTTTCACACACAAATCGTTTAATGTCTTATGTACTGCTTCTCGAAGACCATAAGGAATTATTCGTCTTTTAAGAAAGACGGGATCACCCTGTACTTGAAGTTTTATAGGCTTAATTTTCATACCTCCACTGCATTTAGCACACATAGCTATCAAATCTTTAAGTAAAGTATCAGAATTTTCTTTAGAAACTAAGAAGGACAACTCCACCTTAGGCCTTTTCAAATTCTTTAAACCCAATATTGACAGTCCTGTTTCGCTAACTAAAAATTCACAAGGTATGTATGAAGAATTATCATCTCTGATTAGCAATTCACAACATCCTCGTATGGGCAGTCTGTGTCCAGTAATCCCCAGTATTGATACTTCAGTGGGTCGTACAACAACGTTAGGATCTAAAGCTTTCAAGTTCTTGAATGAAATAATGGACTCTATACTGCCTGTGTCCAGAATAAAGTCATGAAATGAACCAAGCGATGTATATAATCGCTTCTGAATATGATCATTACCTTTCGAAATAGTGGACAAAGACAAATGATCACTAGAAACATCCGAATTATTGAAATTTAAATTACAAGATTTAGTACAGCTCGAAGCAAAATGGACAGTAGCTTTGCATACTGACTGAATGTGTCCTACCTTACCACATTTAAAACATTTAGCATTACGAAATACACATGAATTGCGAGCATGAAACTTTCCACATGATAAACATTTACCAAACTTCATCTCACCTTTGTGATTTGCTTTGTAATTCCCCGTTGAAACACCTTTCATATTTACACGAGAATAGGAATCACTGTTAAATGAACGCAAGTTTGATTGACCCTGAGATTGTAGTTCATCAGCACGACTAAGCAAAGTATTAGAAATCTTCATCGACTGGATATCTAGTTCATCCACTGCTTCATAGTTAATACACGCAGTTCTAGCATCTTGTAAGGAACAGTTTGGCATTCTTAACAGCTCTCTTTCCAAACTCGGTATGTTAATTCCTGCAATTAATCGATCTCTCAATTGCACATGAAGTTGATCACCGAAATTACACTTGGCAGCTTGTTTCTGTAATTCAAGGATGAATTCCCGAACCTTTTGGTCATTTTGACGAACCATCTTATGAAACTTCGCCCTTTCACGGCATTCAAAACTGGTGCATTTTACATGACTTAACAATAGCTCTTTAAGAGTTGCATAAGGCAGTGAGATAGGTTTTTCTGGATATGCCAAAGTTTTTAATAAGCTGTACACTTCTCTCCCAATGAATGTCAGAAAATGTGCCACAATTTTCTCACCTTTAACATCTTTCTTGGTCATGCTCCAAATTTCGAACCTTTCCAAATAATCCTCAATAGCTTCAGGAGTTAAATGAATATCCAACTTTTCCATTGCAGGTTCCATCGCGACGCCAATATAATATTCTAATTATAGTATGAACTAGGAATTCCAGGACTAACGCAATTGAACTAAGAAGACACAGGCACAAACGAATGTATTGTATTTAGAATTCGAAATCAAGTATTCAACCAGTACCAAGGTATCATTGGTTCATTCAAACACCACACTTATTTTGTCGACGTTTATGAAAGCATAAGTACAGGGTGCGGTGTATTCAAACAGGTACGTTGCGTACATTTGTCGACAAATATCCCCCAAATACCCGACGTAAGGGGAAAACATCGACATTTCCCTTAAATAACCGGCGTAAGTACGAAAAAGCGACATTTCTCCTTTATTTACGCTTTCGTCCCCTTTATTTCCTCTTTATTGGTTGCCTGGGACTTATTATAATAACTATATATCGTCACTTCTGTTATTTAAAAATGATATAAAACCATTTTACCTCAACTAAGTGTCACGAAATAACTGTATTCAAGTTTCATGAGCATGAATTCGCTCTTGTACTACAAAGGAAACGGCTTGATAATGCTATCTCAAACAGCTGTTCGGTTTCTTTGGACATATGTGGTTAGAAATATGAATGAGTATGTATATGTGATGCACTGATTAAGAACCATGGGTTGACTGTCAAGTTCCACTTAGCACTTTTCTAAATGTCTCGTTGTTTAGGTTCAGAATTCTGTCATAATGGCTGCAAGCATACTGTTAGGCCTCATGATTTCGTTGATTGGAAAGTGACTACATCAATGCAACTCAAAATACTCCTGTTCTACAATAAGCGTGCTACAATTCTCTTACTTTGCGTTTTAATCACCTAGTTTGTCTACATTGTAATATTCTCAGAACTTGTTAATTAACAAGTAAGATATCTGCTATTTTTATTTCACCTTAGCTTCCTCATGAATTCATGAAGTATGTATTCATCGGACAGTAACTAGTCTTCAAAGAAACGGAGTGTGTTCAAAATCTTCATTTGGATTGATTTCAGGATAATTGAAACTATAGAGATCCCTTATATGTCATTGATACTTTCAGCTAAACTTATTCTCTCAATTTCCGTTCACATAAACTATGATTTTTAAGACGTCTACTGTGTGTAGATCCGTTCGCTATTTACTTCACCCGTAATTCTAACGGTGTATTTGTATTCATCTTCCCTCATTTAGTGTCCATGATCTTTATTCTTCAATCTCATTCTCCTTAAACTACTTTTTGTGTTTGGCTTTCCATGGTAAAGAATACTGTTACTTTGTTTTCTCTACATCATGTTTTGCTGGTTCCTCTTACTTTGCTACTGTGACGTGACAGCTTGAGTCAGTAAAATTCGGTCCCAATTTACCAATGATTAGTTGACTGAATCACTCAAAAAATCAACATGGTTAGCGAATTTCCGACCGGCAATTTTCAATAACACTAACAACACTTGCTAAAGCACTTTGGGAGTAGTTCAGTCGGCCAGAACTGGACACAAAGCCTGCTAAAAACTAGGTTTATTTTTAAATTTATGTTGCTTCTATAAAAGGTGCTCATTATTTCATCGAAAAAGTATGTGATGTCAGTTTTAGTTTGTCCTGTACATCTTATGCCCCTTTACTGACATTCAAATAGCCCGTTTCAGGATAAATTCTATTCCGAGGCACTATTTCTGTGTTTTTAGACACATTACAATGCAATACTATTACCGACCGCAGTTCTGAGAGTGTTCCCAAAACAAAATTTACACTATTGTTTTGAATTTTCTCTGTTATTCTTGTCAACTTCGTCTTATTATTCTAGTGCGTTGTGGAAAACTGTTTGATGTACATTTATCACTTGTCCTAAGTTGACTATCATGGAATGACTGACGTCGCATCACAGCATTTTGTATTGAATTGACCATCCATAAATTCAAATTACTTTAATATAGCAACGTCTTTCGGTCCCAGTGCTTAAAAATTTGTTATAACTTTTGAAAAAACCGTAGTGAAAAGCCAAGAAATTGTCAGAAGTTTCCAAGACTCTCTTGCTTACTCAGGGTAACTGGCCCAGAAATTGTTTTCCTCTGATAAGTTATTACTAATATTCCCTATTTTAGGCTTTTTATTTCCATGATTTCAGATTACTTTGTGTAATCTAATCTCTAGATCTGTAGATTTTTCCACACCAGTTGTTAAATAAACAGATTACCATCATACATTGATATTTTTTATTCAGTTCCGATTCATTCTTAGGAAAACATTACGTTAATTTATTATATTAAATTTTCAGTTGTAAAGTATTCATCTACATGTTTTTCAGATACATATCTTGGATAGATGTTTGTGTTCCAGTTTCACATTTAGTTTCTTCACCCTAATCACTAACTGTCAACTATTAAAAAACGCCTTCAAGACGATTACTAATAATGAACTGCAGGATCGTTGAGGGAATGATTTGCACTGCAATTGATTCAGAAGTGAACTGTCCGTGTGATGAATGCAAAAAGAGACATTTTTCTAATGGGATTTCTTTCTTCTTCCTGAAAAATAAATTCTGGGTCGAAACTGTTTCTGAAGAAGAGTTGTTTCTAAGATTAAAGGTTCACTTATTTTTTTCCGTACATGTTCAAAATAAAGACTCTTAATCCACAGTTTGAATTTCAGCGTGATACCCTCCGCCACACTATTCGTGATTGCTTTGATTTTGGAAAAGTGGTAGCTGATATCCAGGTTCGCACAGACATATGTAGTGTTTCTTTTCAGTACACCTTTGGAGAATCTGTAATAAATTGGACTAGTGATGCTGTTGTTCCTGTTTCTTCTGTGGTACCTAGTTACATTATAAAAGAATTTATTTTTAGTTGCATTATCATGTTGTTTTGCCACTTTCGTTTGCACTAGAATCACTTTGTAAAAAGCAAGATTTACTCAATAACAAGTTATTGGCTCTAAATCATCATACAAATCGGCTTCATGAAAAACTAATGCTTCCAAGTAACAATGATAATTTAAATGTCAAATTAAACTAGTGGGTGAGGATATGAAAAAAGAAGACGTGGATCTGGTTAGTTATTATTATTGAGAACCGGCTTTAGAAATATGATGGGATGTCACTGCTCGGTTGCTTTCATCATTAATTTGGTTCTAGTCTCTTATTTTTGCTTGTAACATTTAATGTGTAACGTGAATTTAGTACCTAGATATCTATTCGTGTCGATCTTATAAAAGTCCTATGAATATTTCGGAAATAAATTATTTATGATACGATTTGAACTCATCCCATCCACCTTATCTGATGGTTCAAATCTTTAGACGATTGTTTACTCTCTTGAGATTGACAGTACTTTTTAATCACTCCAGGCAAATAATTATAGGTATATTTCTAAAGGTATTAATTAACCACATACAACGTTTCACATGTAAGCTCTAGCAAAATTAATTTTTGATTTCATGGAGAATTGATCCGGAATAAATCACCTTTGACAAAAATTTCATTCTTCATAATCTGGAAGTTTACATTAGACTTGTTGTTTTAAGAAATGCATACTTCCAACAGTACAAGTAGCTTTTCTAAGTATTCCACAAGGAAGATTACTCAACTTGTAACCATGTAATTACATATAGATAGTAGTAGTGTTATCGTTGTAATTTGGGATGTTACAGTCATGGTGATCAATCTAATCTCATTTTGCAAACAAAAAATATGGAAAAGAATGCTTACAACTAATGAGAGTATTTCCTGAGTTGTAATTGTTCACAACAGTATTTCGCTTCATGACATTCTTTTTAAATCAAGTAAATTTTGTCTCATGCACCATAAGATATATATCAAGCTAGAAGCAGGTGGTAATTGTACTACGTTCCCCACAAACAATCAGTTCTTAAGATAAATAGGTTGTATCTTACAACAGAATCTAGCCCGTTACCCATCGAACTAGAGTCCATATACCCATCAATTTCTTGGGAGTTTAAAGCGAAACGTCCCGGGTTCAAGTATCATTGTAAATATAAACACTGGAATACAAATGCATTTAGTTGACCAGTCCTAAATAGCACTAAACGTGCACCTTAGATTTTACTGTTGGGTACAATCTGCCTATTGTAAAACCTTGTTACAAAATAGTTGTATTGAGGCAATTCATTCAAGATGTAGTTGTGCCACCAAAAGATGATCAAAACTCGATCCTAAATTTTTGAACGAGAATTTTTTTCGATAAATTCTCTTCAGGTTCTACAATTATATATCCAAATTAATAATTATTAGTTTGGATATATAATCGTAGAACCTGAGGAGAATTTATCGAATAGAATATTCTTCATTCAAATATTAGTCTTTTAATATGATGGGGATCTTTAAACGGTCAGTCCTAAATGTCAACAACAGGATAATTCAAACTCTTACTACAAATCATAAATCTTAAAATCAAGAACGGTTTCGATTTTTCTTTCGTTTGAAGTATCATATTCATTTGTTTCACATATTTTTTGTTAAGTCATTTTAAAACAAGTTATTTTGTCTGCCATAAATAAATTCATCGAATGGACATCTTATCATTTGAAAATCTTAGTATAGTAATTCTTTTTTTAAGTCTAGTTAATTCTAACGTTTCACACTTGTTTTAAATTCGTGGTTTTGCATATTTTTTTGTTTTGTCAGGATTTTAGTTATTCATATAACTTTTCAACAGGCTTACTTTCTTCGTCCTCTACTCAACATCTTTTTTGTGAGGCATCTAAACATTTATTCACTTCTAAAAGTATACTTCAATACTATTGGTTAATAAATTCAGTTCAAAATATGTGTGTTTCTCCGATACAACAGAAACAGCCTACACGTGGGATAATATCAAGTAATTCAAACACCAAAGATGTTCAGGTAATTTTTGTTAAATAATACGTCGATTGTCTTTTTTCTGTTGCCATAGCTCTCACCAGATAATATTTTGAATGCGAAAATGTTCTTCACTCCACGTCGATTAAATCATCTTTGAATTCCATAGTAATTTTTACTCTCAACTACTCGGATTGTTTCATGTCTCATTCGCACCATTGTGTTGAGATCTCTTTTCAATGTGAAAAAAATATATTTCTTTTACTCTTTTAGTATAAATAGATCTCAATAGGAATTTTGAACAGTTTCAATTCTTTTTTTACTACTACTATTCAAAAATTCATTTGGCAATTAAGTACTTCATTGACGAGTGAGTATTCACCAAACTATTACTCGAATTAGTAGTATTAGTAGCTGTGAAAATCTATACGGGAAATATTAATTTATGTGAAATGTTATCCCAAACATTGATTAACATAAACAGAATCAACTTGTTTCCTCAAGCTTTTAGTTAAAGTTGGGTGTAATGTATATATAGTAGTAATCATATGAATTAACCGTTTGAATTTGTAGTTACCCAATATGTGACTGCCTGACGCCAACATGATAGTTCACACATATGAGTGTCCCATTTACATTATACAATGTTTGCTTACAGAAAATAGTTTGTCAAAATGAAGCCAAAAAATTATTTTCGTTGTAATTAAAACGGTAAATAGAAAGCTAACTGTAAAAATATTTGCGCTCCAATGCATTCGAATTTTCACTTTTCTGGATTGCCATATTTATTTATTTATTTATTTTAACACATAGATATTGGTACAAGGAGGCACCAAATACATATGCGCCAAACAAATCTCATTTGATTTTTGTGAGGGCTGTGATACTGCCCGGGTGCCAAAACTGAAGCAGGTGGTTTTCTTAGGTGGCCATTCCCCAAGCCTTCGACCTGAAGGTCTGATCCACAAGGCAGTGGAGCATCGTAAGGAGATGCAGTCCCATGGAAGCCGGTGACCAACAACTGCTTCATACACCATTTGTTCCCGCAGGATACTGGAGCCTATGTACATCACTGGTTTGGAACCCGGTTAAAGCGCCGGACATTCGCTTTTCGTCCTCTCATTTTCGTAACCAACACCCCAGCCACGAGAAGGCAGTGAGTAGGACTTCCCTGGCAGAGACTGTATACGCGTGGCCATGTGAGAGCGTTTCGAGAGGGAGAGCGGACTCTCTCCACTCTCGGCCGTATCAGGGCATTTGGGGGGTTAATGCCCCCCAAACGCCCTGGATTGCCATAAAGTATAACGTTATGGAGAATCCACTGTAACCCATTCTCAAATTCCGTATCTTGAATACTATTCTTATAAACAAGTATTAATCTCGCAAGTTTAGATGTTGAATGGTCGTAGTCTATATTCATTATTTCCGGGAAACTCGACCCGTATCAACCGAAAAATTGGTCGTTTAGTCGTTATCCAAAATTTTTCAATCGTGCAAGTATCATTTATATAAGTGCTAGAAAACTCGGATTATGAGTAGCTGATTTTCATTCAAGAACACTAGCATTCTGGATCAAAAATACACTTTCTGCTCTTTTTTGTCTTCTCAGTAGTCGGGGTTGAGTCAAGGGCCATTAGGGGCGTAATTCAAGTCCATTTGGGGAGTATTTTGCGTCTCATCCACTACTGCGTTGATATTTTGATTTGCAAAGCTAGAAATGAGTTATAATATTAACGGACTAACATCACGAAATTATAGAATTGTTATGAACGGCTCAAATGAATGATCAAATTTCTGGAATAGATGAGATGGCTGCAGTAACTGATTCCAAATAGATTTCAGCAAATAGAACTTCTAAACAACCAAGTGAATATATATTAGGAAGTTACAACTATTGTTTCTGTTCAAGTGATTCACTCAAGATTATATAATTGAGTTAATAAGTTGTCACAAATTAACTAGTAATCATTTCATACACATGATTACCATTACTGACTTGAAGAGAGCTGGAACAGAATAAAGGAATTCATTTTATTTATTCAAGTTCTCACATTTACTTACAACCTGTAATGTTTCAAATAAAATTTAACATACTTGTGGATATCAAGCCGATTTAAATTCAGTGTGAAAGCATATCAGTACGATGTTATTTCCAAAACAAAGTTCTAAACTTAAAAAATAACTGTATTTAATTGTCTTCTAGGAAACAGAAGAGAAACGAAGAAATGAATTACAGAGAAAGTTGGCGGATAAACTGGGGAAGTCCAAAAGTAAAGAATTGAAAAAACATGGGATATTTCGGAAGTGATAAAAAAATTGAGTCTTATTAATCATAGGAACTTCAACTTGCCTTTTTTTTCCTGGTTACTTATTAATCGCAGAAGTTGAGATATCGAGAATTCTTTGTTGGGTAGTTGCCTATCGGGATTCAGTAAGTTACAGAAGTAGTTTGCGTGTTAGCAACATTTTGCACTCATACACGATTTGCTTCCATAAGATTCTGTTTCCAACAATCTTTTGATAATCATTCTAAATCGTAGGGAATAGTACTCCAAGTCGGATGTAACACAGAAAGCATATTACTCACTTATGCCTGCTTCTGCTCGTAAGCATAGGCTGCCGACCGGAAATCTCCAACCAACATTTTCCTTCCTAGTTATTCCCGAGTGCTATTCATTCTTTGGATGTCTGCCTCTAATTCTCAACGCAATGTGTTCTTTGGTCTCCCTCTTTTTCCTTTTGCCTTCAGGACTCCAGGTTAGGGCTTGCCTTATGATGTAATTTAACCATTTACGTAAAGTATAACCTACCCACTCCCAGCATATTTATGAGTGAATCGATCCTTGTGATTTTAAAAGAGGCGTTCGATGTACTCTTTTATAATGTGAAATATTTACTTTCAAGATAAGTGAAGTTGTCAACGCGTTCGACTGCTTCATTACCTATCTTCATTCTAGGTGTTAAAGCAGGCCAATCCTGAAGCAACAACTTGCATTTAGAGGACAAGAAACGCATCCCAAACATCCTGGCATTGTTGCTCAGTGCTACCCAAAGACTCTGCATTTTATCAACGTCTTGCTGTCTGACGAAATTTCAGCACGGATTCATAAAGCTCGTTTGGCTTTCGTCAACTTACGTCACCTATGGCGTAGGCGAGATATCCGTCTATCAATAAAACGATGAGTATACTGCGCAGCAGTTCGTTCTGTTCTACTTTACGGCTATGAAACATGTCCATTAAGAGTATAAGATACTCGTCAGTTGCTAGTATTTGATCACAGATGTCTTAGAAATATAGCTCGCATCTTCTGGGATCACCGGGTAAGTAATAGTGAAGCCAGACAGGGTATTAGAGAATGATGGTAAATCAGTTGATGAGGTTGTGAATCTTCATCGACTGAGATGGTTGGGCCACATGTTACTTATGCCTGAACACCGATTACCACGACACAATGCTGACTAGTGTTAGAAGAAAGTTAGGGACGGCCAAACCAGAACGTGACATCAGTCACTAACATCTGGTCTGAGCCTTGTTGGTAGATGCAGACTATCGTAACCAATGGTTGGAGACTGGGCGACAATGACGTTGATGAATACTCCTTGTCTCTCCTTAAACTGTGAGATTAAAATTACTTTATTCCTACGAACTAATTCTTTCTTCCTGTATTATATCCTTATGTGCAATCTTTCATATATTTCTACCATTGGGTTGACTTCTATAAATTTGGTGTTCATCTTGTTGTGCTAATGAGGTGTGGCAACTTAAACCGATGCATATGTGTCTGGTCCTACCTTGTAGCTGATTAAAATATTTACTACTTAGATAGGCATACGAATACATGTACTTCGATACGATGAGTTTTTGCAGAATATGAGAATTGTAACATGCTAATATTTTCACTGGTATTTCTTGAAATAATCAGCGATTAGCCATGGAGTTTACGACGGAAGGTCGATACCGATGTAATTAGTCCAAATACGAACTTATTGATCAACATTACTGACTTATCCATTCGAAATTTGCACTCAGGGATTTGAGATCTACTCGCCAAAATGATGGCGAAAATTATTAAGTTAGTGGACTGCAGCCTAGGTAAAAATATAAATGCAATTATGATAAGTAAAACTAGTCTTAGTGACAGATCCTCACCATAATTCCCGATGGATTAGTATGAGCGATTCAGCACATTATGGTTACTTTTTTATTAGTAGAGAAATTAATATAAAGTTTCACTAGTCTTCAGAAAAGACTACATAATTATCTCCTGTTCGATTTTTGAATCATACCGTAGTGTATAGTAACCGAAACCAGTGATAGAGCTTGAAGTGGTTAACTGAAATGAGGCTCAGGATGTATTGCCCATACAGTTCCATACTATCCATGTATCGCAAAATAAATTTTGATACAGATAAACTTTAACCAATTAAGTTCTACAGAATTTCCAGTCAGTTCAACAACACGAGTCGATTTTCACGTGATGAAAGAGCTCTTGAGTTTTCGGTATGAAGCGTAAGGCGGCAGAACCATGTACACAGAAGGTACTGACTCATTGTATTTGGAACCGTTTGAAAACAATCAAGATTGTTTCCTACTGACTATCATCAATCAAAAACATTAAAACGTCGGTTTACAAATAAATATACTATGAACATTACGCTTGACTCTATATAAGCGGAAATACTTTATGCGATTGTTTCTTAAACCATTCGATCGGTATTAGCGCTTGTCAGGATTTTGATGCTTGAAAAGTGTCTATACAATTAAGGTGATCAAAATAATTTTACTTGAATATTACCACACTTCACTATATTCTTTATTTATGTACATTTAAAAAAGCAACTCGATCGTCGTATTATGCATACTAAATAAACCTGTTTTATTTTACATGGAGTGTTTTTTATATTACACTGAACTATACAAAAAATAATCGAAGATGGTAAAGTAAAAATCAAGTATGATGGAAACACCAAAAAGTTGAAAATACAGAAATTATACATTAGGTATGCAAGATCACATTGAAAATTTACTTCTTTTTAAAAAATTACAGTAATTGACAAATTTACAAAAAAAACTTATTTTAGAAAGACTAACTGTATGGTAGAGGCTAAAAACATGGATATCTGTGTAGTGAAGAGTCGACCTTTTAGTGGATAGTCTTAAATCACGATGTTACATTATCCGTTGAATATGTTTCATTTAAATGTGGATTCATACTAAACTGTTCTAGAAAGGCTTGTTTAACAGACATCACATGCCGTGCAAGACGTACAGCATCATTCCAGCGTAAACCAACTAGTCTATGCAGAACTGGTAAAGTTAATAACATAAATGCTTGCCCATCTACAGCTTCCGCTGCAAGCCATGGCCACATTTCTCGACAATCGGTACTGCCAAGATATGAAGCTAAGTCAACAGGTGTCCAAAACATAGGATTGCTTGGTAAAACTACTCTTGGAATATTGCAGAGCCACGAGTCAATATCTCTTTCCATTAGTGGAATATGGTTTGGAGGTAGCTGTGCGGTAACTGGACTGTTACTCTGTGAAGAAGTTGGAATGTTGGGTACGGTTAAGCAGTAACTTGATGGGGCGGCTGATAAATGATTTAGGTGCCATGAATGCTGCAAGTTAGGGACAGGAGGGGTGTGTACATTTTTCGGGGTATCAAAAGCAGTAGTACACGCGGGATGGCTATGTGATTCACGAATGGATGATGTCTGATGATTTACCATAATTGTATCCGAACTAATGATACGCTTTTTGCCTGCTGGATTGACAAAGTTGGAGCGGACAGATCTTTTGGATCCAGTACGCCCATTGTCAATGTTTTTGAAACCATTCGAGATATTTTCATTACCATGTTCCATGGAGTTTCGTGAGTAGTTTTGATGCTTTCGTTTGGCTCTGTTCACAAGGTTATTATTCTTTGAATTAGGAACTTTGCAACTATTTGACTGAAAAAAGGATTGCGACTCAAGCCTATTAACCCAATTTAAATTGTTTTGTAATGTTGATGTAGATCGAGTGACATGACTGTTGGGAGCACTCAAAATAATGCGATTCTGATCACTATCAAGATAAAAAGAGTCAGTAAATGCACGTAATGCAGTTAGACGCCTTTTCCATCCTGGAAGACGATCAAAGTAACGCGAACGCAAACGGACACTACAGAAAGATGGACAGTCGTCAATCAAAGAGATGTTTTCAGTAGGGATTTGAGCTGCACTTAGGTTAGGGATTATTCCACTTGATTCCTGTAAAAAGAGACGATCAGTATCTAATCCATTGGCAGATGGTGATATAATTGAGTTGGATTCTTTTGGTAATGGAGGAGGAACAAGACTGAGGAGATGTGGACATGCTTCAAAAACTAGAGATATCTATAAAAGAAGACAGAAGAAGGAAATGTATAAAATTGACTACAATCAAAATAGTAATTAATTATTGTTTCCTAGTATAATCACTTTTAACATGATTGTTTGCGTACTTCACACTTTTGAAGGAATGTATATTACCTATACTTAATATTTTCGAACGCTAAAAACATTGACAACTTCATTTTTATGACTAATCTATGCACAACATAATGAATGGTGTGTAATAGGAGATTGGACGGTAGTTTCGGTTATATAACCGAGAAAGGTAACGTCTGAGCATGTCTTAATGGGGTTGTTAAGTACATTTTTTTATATCGTTTCAATCTTAAGCAGTTTCAAAGTAGCGCAAAACCCACTGCTTTTGGATTAGATCAAAGATGCAGGTTTCATAGCTAACTTTACGAGACTGACCTTTTACACACAATAGAAGCCATATTATGATGTATTTAATGAAGAGAAGGTAGGTAAGCTGAATAACTAACAGCATCACTACAATTTTCCATACAAAACATTGCATCTGATAAATGTAGCTCTTCAGCAGGCTTTACTGGTACAACTGTTGAATAGGTTGGTCTATCTACTTACTGTGTAGGAAAAATTTGTGCTAATTACAACATTCTGATAGTTATTTCAGGACTAAGAAAATAGTAAGAACAATTAAGGATCTTTACAAAGGAAATAATGCTAAGTGATTTAAACAATATCGGAATATATTATAACAAATTAATGATGAAAATACTGGGATCTCGACGGTGTTTTAAAGCGATCCAATTGTCACGAGCAAAAGTCAACATAGTCTTAAGAGGCATGATTTATTTACCAAGCATAGGTTGGTTTGTGTACTCTGCTTTAAGGCATATTGTTGGTGTGAAAGCTAAGTGATAATCCTCGATAGCTCAGACCAAACTAGGTGGAGCTGGTAATTTATTTTTGTATTATTTGTTTGAATCTTCCCATTGTTGTTTAAGACTGCGATTGACCAGTCTATTATTGGCATACATGGATCCTGTGTGGATTACCTCGATATTGCTCTAAGTCACAAGTATTATAAGCAAAAACGGATGGTGGCTGGCATCGGACTTAAGGTAATATCGAGGTAATCCGAACAGGATGCACATATGCCAATAAGTGACTGATCGATTGCAATTCTAAACGTCAATGGGAAGATTCAAGCAATATATATAACTAAAGTTTATTAAATTAGGAAATCTATAGTAAGTTTGTGGTGTTTCAAGAGAAAAATCATGACCTAGATACAAGACTGGAGGATAACAGTTTAACCAGCTCTACCCATTCTTCTTCTGCTTATCAAGTATCACTAGTGGATGTTGTCAAAAGCATAGTAAATAAGTATGCAGATAGGAACTGATTTATACAAAGAATATGGTTAAGACAACTAATCCATACCACTAGATATATTCTATCAAACTATTTTAGCAGGTTAAAAAGTCTATTTGTGTACGGTAAAACTTTGTATATGACTTATGATGACACTTAATTTTATTTCATTTGACAATGTTGAATGATTTTTGAGTTTATTTGTCTGATAACTCTTAAAAAGTCAGTCAGTAACAACGTAGAACTTCGTACGTACGTACATCAGTTCGAGTTGCCACACCACATTAGCACAGAGATGCAGTTGTCGATTCAAATCCCGTAATCGTAGAGGTAGTAAGAGTATAAGCAGTAATCGGGAAGATTAGGGTTTGAAGATGTTATTCAAGGACTATAATCCAGTGAAATAAATTTGGAAAAAGGAAAAAAGGGACATGAAGAATTCAGAAGATTAGAATTTGGGAGAACACAAAGAGTGTATGCACTTGCGCCATTGCAAACGATTTTGAGCCATGTCATTCAGGGTCTCTAACCATCGGCTGCTATTATCTCGTGGTCCCCAACCAGGTAGTCTACACCTACCAACATGGCTCAGTCCACTTGTCTGTGACTTCATGGATTTGTGCCATGTTTTGGTCTGGTCACCCCTAGCTTTCTTCCAACCTACTCCTATACCACTGAACATAGCACGTCGAGGCAGTCGGTCGTTGGGCATACGTAACACATGTCCCAGCCATCTCAACTGATGAAGTTTCACTACTTCATCAATTGATTACTTACTCGGTGGTCCCATGATATACGAGCAATGTCTCGAAGACATCTATGATCGAATACTAGTAACCTACGAATATCCTCTACTCTTACCGGCCATGTTTCACTCCCATAAAGTAGGACGGGACGAACTGCTGCGCAGTAAACACGTCCTTTGGTTGATAGACGGATATCTCGCCTACGCCATAAATGACGCAAGTTGGCAAAAGCTAGTCGAGCCTTCTGTATCCGTGCTGAGATTTCGTCACACACTAAACCACAAGGGCTGATGAGACTTCCAAGATAAGTGAAGCGGTCGACACACTCAACTACTTCACTCCCTATCACTAGTTCGGGTATCGATGTAACCCAATCCTGAAGCAACATTTTGCATTTCGAGGGGGAGAATCGCATCCCGAACATCCTTGCATTGTTGCTTAGAGTGGTCAGAAGACTCTGCATTTTGTCAGCGTCTTCACCAAATAAAACTATGTCATCAGCATATTCTAAGTCAACAAGTGAACCTCCCGGTAGAAGTTCAACCCCTGTAAATTTAGATGAGGAGAGTGTTATCTCTAAAAGTACGTCAATGACAAAGTTGAACAAGAATGGGGAGAGTGGACAGCCCTGACGAACACCACTTGAGGTGATCAATTCTGATGACAGTTCGCCATAAGCTCTCACTCTACCAGTTGTGTTCGAGTAGAGAGCCTTTATAAGGTTAATGTACTTCTTTGGTACTCCTTTCAGTGACAAACACTGCCATAGAACCTCACGATCAATAGAGTCGAATGCCGCCTTAAGGTCGAGAAATACTACCATTGTGGGGCGTCTGAACATGTGTCTGTGTTCTAGAACCTGACGTAGTGTGAATATCTGATCTATACAACCACGTCCAGGTCGAAAACCGGCCTGGTTTTCTCTAGTCTGCTCTTCACGAGCTTTAGTTAGGCGTCGAAGTATTATTGAAGCTAATATTTTAGACACTATATTCGTCAAACTGATTCCTCTGTGATTGTCACAAGAGGACTTTTGTCCTTTCTTATAGACTGGCACAATCAGTGATTGAGACCAGTTAGATGGGATTACGTCCAGTTCCCAAATTCTACCTAAGACCTCGGTTAATCTCATTGCTAATACTGGACCACCATCCTTAAAAATCTCAGGAGTAAACCTGTCAGGGCCTGCTGCTCTCCCTCGTTTCAGATTTCCTATGGCTTTCTCAACTTCGTAAAGGGATGGAGGACTTACATTAACATGCCATTCAGGTCGACTGGAGATCGTGGGAAACCGAAGTGTGGCTGAAGGCCAGTTGAACTGATCCCTCAAGTGTTCTGCCCATCGATCCAATCTCCTGGATTGAGAATGAATAATATGTCCATCTTTCTCTGAGATTGTTTTGCTAACAGTCGGTTTCCTAATACCGGTTTCCTTACCAAGTTTGAACAATTGTCTGCTATTACCTATTGCCGCTGCCTTTTCCATCTCTCTTGCTTTCGCTACCCACCACTGTTCGCGATCATTGCGTAGACTTCTTGTCAGCTTGCGCTTAAGCTGACTCCGCTCTTCATTGTGTTCAGAGCCAGGTGGAATGAGTGTCCGAGCATCTATCAGTGCGATAGATGCTGCTGAGATCCAGTGTTGCTCCCTAACCTTCTGGTTTACCTTACTAGC